CACGCGGTATAAACAGATCAATTATTAATGTCAATGTGGACTCTCCATTACAAACTACCAGTAAATCTTTGACAAATTTAATCTACTTATAGGTCTAATTAATTATGAGGTTAAAAGGCAATGGACTAGAATCAGATGAACAGACAAGTTGTGACAAGAGAAATCAAGTTGGTTGAGCAGCCCGGCTTCATGCTTGGAAGTTTGTTATGCCACTTGAGGTCCCTTGAACCAGAAAATTGAAGAAACAAAAGGCAAAACTAAGCCTTCTGCTCTTTTATAACTCTTCCTTTGTCCCAAATAGAAAGGCCAAAAACAAAACTGACCTCCCTCCCTTTCATTACCACCAAACCGAAAAAACAGAACCCGGAGTCTTACCGCCTAGGTTTTCATGACTGTTTGCACATACCGGTCAGGTAATCAGTCTCGAACTATGCCATTCACAATCCAAATCCGGTGAATTACGGTAACAACACTGTAGAGTTATGCACAATCTTATCGAACGGTGTAACTCTAGTTCATTTATATGCATCCATGCACTCACAGCATGAAATCTTCCATGTGCCATTCTAATTTTATTGAATGCGCACAAAGCATTGTGCGCATTCGATAAAAGAATGCTATGAAAAGTGAAGAAAATTGTGCTCAATCAGGTATACTCGACTCAAGAATCGTGCTCAATCTTATGGGATGAAAGAATATTATAAATCCAATCTCGCTGCTTTCATAAGTCAATTGCGAGTTCTCCATTTATGTCGCAACCATAGCACCTCAAATTTTATTAAGATCAAAATACTCCACAAATGTTATGATGTCCATAATTTAACATTACACCCTAAATAGTTTAAGTTCTATATGACAAACTCCAGAACGACAGCAGCCAATTCTACATAGCAGACTGATTGGAAGGGAAGTTCCGATTACACCGGTGTCAAACCTACCACACCTGCACACACAAGATCACAATAAAAAGTGAAGAAAATTGAGAATTTAATGAAATTACGGAAACAAGTCTACGAGAAGTTACATGTATGCTGCAGTGTTGGAGAACATATTCAAGTTAAAACTTAATGATACAGTGATTATGGGATTCACAAAAGAAAGTTCAACCAATATCGGCTCTTGAAGCAGTATGTACCTGTAGAATTAAAGCAACTGTACTTTTTTATGTAAACACACAGCATGTCCAGAAAAACTCGGAAACCATTTTCTTAATTATCATCTGCTTAACCATCCTTCATAGTAATTAACTAGGATATGACTGAAATGCATGTGTCACGTCTAAGTGTGTGTCCAACTACAAGATATCTAGGCCCAGATCTTTTGATGTGGGAATTGTTCCACAGCCAGGAGAACAACAAATAGTACGCTTAATTTGGTCCATGAAAGCATTTTTCGCTTGGAAGTGACATTCACAGGACTACAAACTAAAGAGCACTAAGCGATGGAAAAATAATAAGACTAGGCCGCCGTTACTATGACTGGAACGAAATGCACAAGATACTCACTCTCAACCCAATCCCCTTTGCACTGTTTACTAACTATTCACTAGAACTACAATTTAATAGGAGAGAGAATGAGAGAGGGATTCTCTGAATGGTTCTGAAAACCTCCTTTATGAGGCTAATGATGAGAGAAATTAATCCTAGAATAATTGTAATTGATGACCCATTAAATAAGCAGAACGGCTCCATGAATGCATCTATTGCGATCTAGCCATTTATCAACATATAAGTATCTCAGATGACTCCCATACACAGACTATTTGGCCCAAACCCATGTCTGAGTTCCCAACAAAATATGTCATATTTGAAGTCACCTGATCAGTTGGATTATGTCCTTCAAGTATCATAGACTGCAACAGGCATCCACATGCTCGGCCATATAGGAATTTCCACCCATAGGTTGGGACAAAAAAGAATTCATCAACAGATACAAGATTTGCAATTCATCATTCCAACGTTTTTTAGTTAAATTAGTTGGCTGTGTTTTTATTGAAACAATTACAAAGTTTCAGATATAATTCAACAGAAAACATGGCCAGTGTATATTTTTATTTATTGATTTAAAATTATCCATATATACAAGATACAGTAAAACAGCGATGCTAATAATATCAAGGTTTCTCAAGACCCTTATTAAACATGGAAAATGCTTAGTGGTTTTCAAAGAGTTACTAATTTTATGGTACATGCACACACAGAAAGACATGCATAAATATAATAGCTTATCCCTCAAATTTACCCAATAGAACGTTAATAAAAGGTATAATGTTTCCAGAGGCTCTATGCATAACAAACTTGTTGATCACAAATTTCATATGTTACCTTAACACAAGTTAGTCATGGGCATTTTCTTTAGTTTATCACTCATCATAAAAGCATACATTAGAGGAAAACCTGTCCTGCTACATCTAATGAAATAATTATGCACAAAGGCCCATGTCCAATGAAATAATTACCCTATTTCCTGAGAATATTATTCCTCATCATCAATTTATCATATTCTTCCAACTCACAACTAGAAAAAGGAACAACATACAATCTTCTTTCAAACAGTAAAACAGAAAAGGGAATAACAAGAACAGAGGAATAAATTATAAGTCAAATTTTCTTGCTTACCACATGCCAATCTTCCACCTGCATTGCCAGTGCTTAGACTGAGTTCGTGTCCACCTACAAATGCAAACCAAATGTGATTGAGGAAAGTAATACAAAGAGGGAGGAAGAAACATCAAAGGTAGTAACTCAACAAATGAAAATGGAGGGGAACGAAAAACTTTTCTTGTCATTACCCACCCAAATGGTTTGTTCAAAAGGATAAAAAAAGGTCGTACCCAGTGCACAAGGCTCCCGCTTTACGCAGGGTCTGGGAGAGGTGAAAACATTCACTACCATTGCATGTAAAATTTCTCCACTTATGCTTTAAATGCAGTAACAAGTTTCTTCAACAAGTTGATTATAAACATACTTACCCTTTCCAAGATCATCCTCAAGCTCATGAACGACAAGTGCTCTTCCAATTATAGCATTAGGACCAGTTAATGGTATCTACAAATTTTAGCCAAAATCAAAATCTTAGTAATCAAATACTACTAAGATGAATACGGAACCAAAAAACATAAAAATGTCAGACACCAAACCAAAACTTGTAAGAAGATAAAGATAAACATGCCCTGAAGGTACACACATTCTTATAGGAAAGTATTACCCAAGCTCAATGATTACCTGGTTATCCACGATTGTTGCCTCTGCCACCCCTGCATCCCCACAATAAATCACTTAGTACATTAACTGGATTGTGATATTGAAAAAAAAAAAGTTTGAAAAGGGAATTAAAATATGAAATTACCATCGGCATTGGCAATTATGTTTCCCAGGTCACCCGCATGACGGATTTCATCCTCAGGAGCACCATGTGTCAACTGTTTAGGATTGAAATGTGCTCCTAGTAAGGGGAAAAGAAATTCATTAGAATGGCATGAAAATAGAATCACAAATATAACATAATATTAGGGTAGCTTAAGTTGATGCTACCTGTGGATATGCATCCATTTGTCGTATCACCATACTCATGCTACACAAGAAAGAGAAACACTTAGAAACAAGTTTACTAATCCACAGATGCCAAAAGCTAATTAAAAAACACTTACTAAGTGGAACCCATGAGGCCCAGGAGTAAGTCCAGTAATACGAACATTAACGGTTGTAGGACCTAAGAACAGTAAAACAGAATCAGTCGTAAGCAGTCATTGCTCCATCAAATGTCACTGAAATTATGAGTGCAGATAACACAAGTTTCTGAGTACGGAATGCAGACCACTCACACACAATTAAAGGAACAATTGAAACGGCAATCAACCAAATCAAATATAATCCGAGTCTGGGAAGATTTGAGTACCCACATCTTCAAATTATCAACAAATAGAAGTTCAAACTAGATAACAAGAAAATCTACAGATTAAACTATTGCTTTAAGTCCAAACAAACAACCTATTCACTACCCAATATGCAGAATCCAAATTCAGTTCTAAACCGCGAAAAATTGAAACCGACACACAATCTTTTCAACATTTCCACTCTCTTAGACATAAAACAATATGAGATTAAACCCAGCAGAGTTGACCATTTAAGAATATAAACCAATATTCAGGAATAGTATCGAAAACCCAGATCAGAGTAAGGAAACATATATCGATGGAGCAATCACAGATTGAAGGAGCAGAGTTATATGAAGATACCATCGTCTTCTTGGCTCAAGGTAACGACTCCTTCAACACTGGAAGTGCCCTTGAGGACAGCGACGGCTTTCTTGGTGGCGGCGATGACGGTGAGGGGCTTAGGGGCGGCGAAAGACATGGATTGGGATTTGAGTGCGAGCTTGAGGGAGACGCCATGGAAGGAGGAATGAGTAATTGAGCGAGGGTTAGGGTATTTAAGCTGGGAGAAGAGAGTGGGGGATGAAGCAATCACAGTCTGAGCTGCCATGACCGCCGAAGCTGTTTGCATTGTTTGCTTTGGGTTGGGTGGTGGCTGGGGGCGGTTGAGATATGATAAAATGAGAGTGACGAGCTGCCACTCGGTCGCGTTTGTTGTTTTATCTGGTGCCTTTGTTTCCTTCTTTTCGACAGTTTTCGGAAGATTCTGGCTTTAACCGCTCTCTATTTTGTGCTGTAAAAAGTGGTTACCTTTCTATTGATACCATTTCGGACTCAAATTTTTATTCTTAATGTTTTTAGTTTTAATTTTGGGATAGCGAAAATCGAATTCAGAGCTGAAAATTCTTTACCAATTACCAATTGAGCTACAAATTATATTAAGTTAATTTTTTTGTTTGGATACCAACCAAAAGATGTGTTTTAATTTCGGCCTAACTGCATTTGGGCTTTTTTGCGTTTTTGTTTTGTTTTAGGCCCATTTTTGTATGTTTATATGTTATCTTCGGCCTTTGGTTTGCTTGTATGTATTGCCAAAAAAGTAAAAATAAAAAAATGTAGTGTGATTCTCGCACTCTTATATTTCACTTTATAGGTTCCTCCTTTTACTCTGTCTCCGTTGTCAATGGAAGTCCAAATAAACCAAACCAAATAACCGGAATCCTGGAGCTTCCAATTTGCATCCATGGGCACCCCCAACCCAAACCTAAACCCATCATCCATGCGGGTCCTAGTCCGCCCACCTCCTACACCCACCGCCAAACCCACTTCCAATTCACCCTCCCAAACTCTTCCGCTTCCCTCCTCCGCAGACCCTCCCGCTTCCGACGGTGTTGTCGTCGTGGGCTTCATTGGCCGGAGCCCCGACGACTCTGCCCAACTCATCAACCGGATCCTCGACTCCAACGTGTTCGGGTCGGGCAATCTCGACAAAAGCCTCTTTCTTGAGAAAGAGGAGCTCAGGGACTGGTTTAGGTGGCGAAGAATCAGTTACTTCCATGAACAGAAAAAGGGCATTCTGTTTTTGCAGTTCTGCTCTACCCGGTGCCCCGCCGTGGCTGATGGGTTCTCGGATTCCGGGTCGGGTTTTGACTCTCCAGTGGAAGAGCATGACTTTGGGGACCTTCAGGCGCTGCTCTTCATGTTCTCTGTAAGTTGTTGCTTTTTTGCTTCTCTCTCTTTTTCTTAGAGGAAGCATTTTCAATTCAGATATTGGGATTGTGATATGTTATGGTGCAGTACAGAAATTAACAGAAATGGATTCTATAATTGTGTATAAACATCGGAGTATCGTGAAAATAATGTGTGAAAGTTTCGCAGAGAACGAGTTTCGTGGGCATTGTTTTGTATCTAGTTACTAGTACAAGAACTAACCTGTACTCTGTACATGACCAGTTTTTGTATTGGAGCAGTTAGAATTTTGAAAAGGAAGTTTTGGGTTTTTAATGTTTAGGAGATACGAATGTCGGTGAATGGTTGATTTAACTGTGATTAACCCAATGAGTAATGCAGGTTTGCCATGTAATAGTATATATTCTGGAGGGTTCACAGTTTGATTCGCAACTCCTGCAAAAGTTTCGAGTGTTACAAGCTGCCAAGCATGCTTTGGCTCCGTTTGTGAGATCCAGAACTGTGCAGCCAACATCATCCAGGCCACCTTCATCGTCATCCTCACGGCCTACCACATCCGCTGCCACCACTAGCAATTCATCTCAAGGTAGAAGTGGTGGCATCTTGACTCGCAATGCTTCTTCCATTTCACTTATGTCAGGTTTAGGTTCCTACACTTCTTTGTTCCCAGGACAGTGTACCCCAGTCACACTGTTTGTTTTTATTGATGATTTCTCTGATGTGCCAAATCCCAGTTCTAATCTGGAGGAGTCGGCAGATACATCCTCACTTAATCAATCGTCTAGTGTGAGCAGTTTAGCAAGGCCAAGCTTGCCTGTTAAGGGTTCAGGTTCAGTGGTTGTGCTTGCCCGCCCTGTGAGTAAATCTGAGGGCAGTTTTCGGAAGAAACTGCATTCATCCCTTGAAGCACAGATTCGTTTCTTAATTAAGAAGTGTAGAACACTCTCAGGTTCTGAAAGTAGTCATGCGGGGTCAAGAAGCGGGGGTTCTTCAAATTCAGCACCTTTATTCTCCCTTGATGCATCAAGGGCTGTCCTATTGTTAGATAGGTCTACGAATCAGAGAGGTGAATCTCTTGAATTTGCCACAGGACTTGTGGAAGATGTTTTGAATGGGAAGGCAACCTCAGATTCTCTTCTGCTTGAAAGTCATGGTCAGAATGCAAACAAAGAGGATATCGTATCAGTCAAGGATTTTATTTACAGACAATCTGATATTCTAAGAGGCAGGGGGGGACCGGTAAATAATTCCAGTAGTGGTTCAACTGCTGGTGTAGGTATGGTTGCTGTTGCTGCAGCTGTTGCCGCTGCATCAGCTGCATCTTCATCTGCTGCATCTTCATCCGCTGCATCTGGAAAGACGATGTCTACTCCTGAACTTCCAAATTTCCAAATTTGGTTATCTTCCAGTCAACAAATTCTTGATGGAGTTCTTTCTGCAAAAGGTGGGTGCTTATATGAAACTGAAATTAGCAAACGAAAACTTCGCCTAAGAAACACTGTTCCACAGCAGGCTGAAGGAGTTTCTTCAAAAGGTACGGATCCTCTAGATTTAGCAGTATCTTGCCTGGAGAACGGTAAAAGGCTAAACACAAAATTTTCAGTTTTGTGGTGTGAAAGGACTCTTCCAGCTGCTAAAGAGGTTTATCTCAAAGACTTGCCTGCTTGTTACCCAACTTCACAGCATGAAGCCTATCTAGAGAAGGCTTTGCAAGCTTTCCATTCAATGGTGAAAGGACATGCAGTGCAACAGTTTGCAAAAAAGTTGGAGGATGAATGCACATCCATCTGGAAATCTGGAAGGCAACTGTGTGATGCTGTTAGTTTGACTGGAAAACCATGTATGCACCAGAGACATGATGTTGAAGCTAGTGAATCACTTTCAGGAGTTCCTGTGAAGCAACATTCCAGTGGATATGTTTTCCTTCACGCATGTTCTTGTGGTCGTTCACGGAAGCTAAGATCTGATCCTTTTGACTTCAAGTCAGCAAACATTACTTTCAATCGCTTCCCAGATTGTGACAAGCACCTTCCCACACTTCAACTGCCTGAAGTAAGCAATACAAGCCCTATTCAACCTTCCTCATGGAATTTGGTCCGCATTGGTGCTGCAAAGTACTATGAACCTTCTAAAGGCTTGCTTCAAAGCGGGTTTTCTTCCACTCAGAAGTTTCTTTTGAAATGGATAATACATTTGGGAAAGCAGAAAAGCCCGAATGAGTTACCTACCAGTGCAGTGCAACAAGGTTCAGTAGTTAGGTCAGAATCCAACCTCAAGTTTGAATCTAAAGCTGGTGTGCAGTTGTACACGGGGGAGTTAAAATCTGGAGTAGCAAGTCATAGAAAACCTGCAGAGGACTTAGTGTCTGATGATAATAAAATCAGTTTTGGGAAAGGTCTTCCCAATTTTACCATGCGTAAAGCTTTTTCTGAGGTTGTTGCTGGAACAGCGACTGTAGATTCAGGATTTCCTCCTATCCAGCCGAGGAAAAAATCTTCATTGGGTTTAGATAAGATTATCAAGAAAACTAGGACAATGGATCAGCGTGTAGAACGGACTAGTGATAATGGAACTCGGAAATCTGAAGATGTTTTATCTGTTCAGGAAAACTTTAGTGAGACCAACAGCACAAATGGTGACCCCTATCTACAGATAGGTAGTAATGTAGTTCCTGTTAACCTGAATAGCGGTGAAAAGTTCAAAATGAACCCTTCTTTAAAACAGGTAGTAGTGTATGTTGGATTTGAGCATGAGTGCCCCCATGGCCACCGTTTTCTATTAAATCCAGAGCATCTTCATGAGCTTGGGTCCTCGTATCAATTGCCTGAAGAATCTCAGGAAAACTTAGACCATAGCCTGCCGGATAATTCGAAAATGAGTAGGAATGGTTTCCATGGTAAAGTTCACCGCAATTCAAATAGGATTGCTACTGCTACCGGTGCAAATAAGGAGAGACATGTAACTAAGTCAAAAGAGATAGTAACTATTGGTAATCTGCATATAGATGGGCTAATGCTGTCAGGACCAGGGAAGGAGCAGAATCACACATCTTTTAGTGCATCTCCAGTCCAGAATTTGCCCAAACGTCTTGAAGGGAGCTTTCAGTCTATTAGCCTTGATGATGGTGGATGTGCTTTCTCTATGTTGAATAGAAATTTACCAATCTATATGAACTGCCCACACTGCAAGCTCTCTAGGGATAAGCAAAATTCACTGAAGACGAAGTTTGCTGCCACAATATCACAGCTTCAAAGAGTTTTTGTGGTATGGAATGTTTCTTATAATCCATTTTTCTCATTACATTCTACAGATAGCTAATAAGTAGGTTGTTTTAGTCATTAAGCTTATTGCTTTGGATTGGCTATCTACAAGGTTTTTCCTATTATATGCGTTTAAAATATGCAGGACCATTTTTAATATCCAGAGTATGCTGTACCTAACTTAACTAAAGGAGGTTTGGTTTCATGCTAATGTTTTTCTCCCTTACCGATGCTCACTAAAGATTCTGCTTGTAGGTCACACCTCCCTTTCCAGTGATATTAGCTACTTGCCCAGTTATACAATTTGAGGTATTTCTATCTCCCTCCTCAAGTATGGTATGCATGGCCTTAATGATATTGCCTACCTTAATTTATTGGTATATTTTATTTTACAACTTGACACCTGAAGAGTTAGAATTGACACCCGAATAGTTAGGATTCTCTAAGCTTAATAAATCAGTTTGCTAGTATCTCTCGGTTCAGTTTCTGTTTCAGAATCACAAATCCTTCATGTTGTTTATTATTGTTGTTCAGTATGCATGTAACACGCACCTGTTCATTGTTGCTGTTTTTATTCTTACAAAATGTATTGCTAGTTATACACAATTTTTCCCCTTTTTTCTTTATTAGATATTTCTTACAAACTTAAATCTTTGTTCTCATGTTGTTGCAATCATTTTACTTGCAGGCATCATCTCTACCTCCCTCAATCCCAGAACGTGAGCAGAAGTTGCAGTTCAACCTTGGATCCCAAGTGGTTTTACCTCCAGAGAGTTTCGTTACCCTTAGACTCCCATTTGTGTATGGTGTACAGCTGGAAGATGGAAGTTTACATTCTCTTGGTTGTTTCGAACATCAACCTGAAGTAACCGCTTGGATTACAAAAGGGACAACATTGCAGGTCATGTCGAAGAGGAACTGTGTTGGTCAAGATGGAGTTCTAACATAGTCAGAATTGTGTATCTTAGGATTTAGCTTTGTCCTTGCTGAGTTTGCAAAGGTAGATTTAGTTGGCTCCATTATGGTCAGGTCAGTAGCTGCCATTTCTATATTTTTTTAATAATCATTTGTTTTATTTTTTGTTTTATGGATTAAACTTATCCATGTTTAATGCAGATTCAGGATTAGCCAAGTTGGCCAGAGCATTTTAGTAAGCATAAACATTAGGCTGAATGTTTTGCATTGGTGGCCAGGATAGTTAAGTTGTTGTCAATCTGATAGATGAGAAGAGCGTTCGGCTGGATAGGGCTGGATGACTATACAGAATTTCATCTTTGATCCCAAACAGTTGGGATCTGTTAATCTTCTGAAGTTATAATTTGAACCTGATGATTGAAGATATGCAAGCAGGCTAAAATTTTCGTCGATATACATGATGTTGCATATGGTGATTGATAAATTTCAACCTCAAAACTCACATGAGCATTCTCATTTGCAGCCAGGTATTGTTTTTGGTGACGTCATTTCAGTAAAACTTACTAATAGTTCTTTAATCTTTTCTGGTCTGCCTGTTTTCCAGGAACAGTTTGATTCTTGAACCTCAAGGTGGCTGGTGCTTGAGTGAAGCTTTTCAGAGCCGTGGTATGCTCTCTGGTCTTTATTTTATCCTCTCTTACACTGGAATGGCGGTTGCTTCTATTTAAAACTTAAAATCAAATGCTACTTCTCATGATCTGGATTCCATCATGTGGTTAACTTTGGGTCCTACAGGCCATGAGATCCAAAAATGTTATTCCATTTTATCATGTTAATTTTTTTTCTAAAAGAAACATGATAGTAATGTAGCTAGAAGATGTTTAATCTTATATTGTATTGTCTAAACATCTTATATTGTATTGTCCTGTCGCATTAAAGTTGACTTGACTCTATCGTTCTATGTTTTGGGATACCGTGTTCCAGTTCTGTTCTGTGAACTACAAAAATTCACGTTTGTCACTTTGCACATATCAAAAATGCAAATCTAGACCTATGGTTTTTTGAATTTTGAATTTTGAGAATCGTATGACCCAAACAAGTTATTAAAACAACCAACGTGGGGGGAGGGCTCAGTGGGAGTGGCTGAGGCACATCGGTTTGTCCTCTGTGGTCTTATTTGTAAACCTAAAGGTACCTCATTAGCGATTGCCAGTGTTTCCTTCCCCCAAGATTGTAAGGTTCAGAGGAGGGCCCCAGTTTATAATCCGTGTCAGAACAACAGTGCCCTTGTCATCAAACAGATGCCATTTTGAGAACTGGGTTCACGGTTCAACTTAAATTTCATACTATCAAAGAGGAAGATATGAGAAACTAAGAAGCAGTAGCATCCCTTCTCCTTTCTATTCAGTTTTCATCCTTTCTTCAGTTGTAAAGGCTATCAAAGCTGATTTTGATTTGTATGTAGGAGTGAACTAGGGTTTCAAAATCAGTCTTCCATAGTTCCATTGATCATTTTTTTTTACAGTGGGAACCCAATATATAGAGATTCCGACCTGAAATTTACAAAGATATAGACGAGACCTGAAATTTACAAAGATATAGACGAGAGAGAGAGAGAGAGAGAGAGAGAGAGAGAGAGAGAGAGAGAGAGAGAGAGAGAGAGAGAGAGAGAGAGTGCTCTGAGAATTATAATTACAACTTATAGCTTGTTTCTGTTTAATTGCAAATATATGTAGATCCTGTGTTATATAGCATATCGATAACTTATGGTCATACTTGTGTGACAGTTCACTCTTTATTTATGCTTGCTTAAGAAGCTATGCATGCCGCTGGATGCCCTGGATTCGGCTGGCCCGTAATCCTTGTTACAGTATGGTTGTCATGCCAAAATATGCGGGCAAATTGTGGAGGTGTTGCGACGCTTCCATATCTTGGAAGGAGCTTTTGCTCGGTTGCAGTAGATGGTCACCATGATGGATGTGGTTGCAATGTCAATTTGGGCAATCTTACTTCTCTCACTATACTAATAGTTAGCCAATCATTTAAAGCATGTTTGGGATTGCTTTCAGAAGGGCTCACTCACGAGCGTAGGGGATTCAGGGATCGCGAGTGATCCTCCTCTTCCTCCCTGTTTGACATGTTCACCACTCAATGTACCAGTCCATTCGCGCTTCAATGCGACGCCTTTAAAAAGACTGAATGTAGAAATTCCGAGTGCTAATTGCACTAATTCCCCAACTTTTATTAGTGTTGTCGTGGGTGATGCAAAACTTATTGATTTTATTGTGGGTTTATGCATTGTTGGTGTATTTTATTTTGCACCGTCCTCTGATGCAAAACTTCAGAGTGGATTCTTTGGCTTCTGTTTGGCACTCTGGAATCTTTCCAAATTTGGAATCATGGCTTCATTTTGATCGCCTTTTTTTTAATTTTTTTTTAATTTTAATTTTTATCTAAATCTAAACTACATATTAATAATATTAATAGATGTTGTAAAATCGACGGTGTGTGTAGTGGAATAAATAAACAAGACACAAAATTTACGAGGTTCCTTTGCAGTCAGTGTGACTGGAGTACGTTCTTGGGGCAGCAGTGGTGCTTTCATTATAATCTGAAATAATAAGAGTACAAAGATAACTCACTCTATTATCTCCTCTTCTCTTCCTCTCTTTTCTCTCTTCCTTTCTTCCTTCCTATCTCTCCCATGAACCTCTCACATTCATCTCCCAAAATCTCTTGTTGTGTTCCATAAGACTTGCTTTTATAGAAGCAAATCACAATCAACATGGTGAAAGACTTACTATATGCATGTGAGTATTACTATACACATTATTATACACATGTGGTACTTTACTATACACATGAGGGCAAACATACGTACTATTTACAACACTCCCCCTTGGATGCCCACATAAGTCTTCAATTGACTCGTTAAGATCTTGATCTGTTTTGGATACTCCCCCTGATGAGTATCTCCCCCTGATTTCAAATCATTTAGGCTGATCGTTGATCATTCTGCTTCAGTCTCTTAGTAATAAGAGTTGCCGAAATAGGTACTTTACTTGTTGTTAACTTTCCACATGCTTGTTCTTGAACTGGGTTGGAGGGCTTTCTGCTAGACTTGCTTCAAATGTCTGAATTTACTTATTTTATCTGGAGCTAAATTTAATTCAAGGGTGGTGGACACTTGATCTTGAATTGGACTTGTGATTTCTTCAAGGACTTCGAGGCTTGATCTTGAATGAAAGTGGACCATGAAGAGCTTCACGTGGCAAGTGATCTTTGGTTTTGTCGGGGATGAATCAACACGTGTTTGTTGCGCTTGTCTTCACATGCTTCAATGTATCATTTTCACTTGCCTTACTTTCTTCCTTTGCTTAAGTAGTATTTTCCCTGCTTTCCCCCATGCATGTGTGGCATTTTCTCCTGCAGTATTTGCCCTCTGATGCAGGAGTGGAATGCAACCCTTGCATTTGGATGGTTCATCACTTCTTGGTGACTGGAGACCCAGCTCCAACAACAGTGGAAGATGACTATTCGAGAGCAATGCTAGGTAAGCAACCATGAAATGTTCTAGGCAGTCGGTTCCTTACTGGGAGTTTGAGTGGAGGTTCCGACATATTGCTTTCTTTATCCTTGTCTTTGTAGGTAAGAACAAGGACAAAGGAAAGGACAGGGAGATTGCATGATATGAGATACTCTTGCTCTCGTCCCTGAAGATATGAGATAATCTTGCTCTAGTGTGACTTGTTTGAAGAGGTATTCTCGGAGAGGAAGAAAACTGAGTATTTCGAGATGCTTTGTTGAAGATGCATTCTCGGAGATGAGGAAGAGTTAGGTATTCTTGCAGGTCTGCCTTGTTATGAAGAACGGAGGTCGACATATATAGAGATTTCCCCAATAGCAGGTAGTGGTGTGGATGTGGCTTTGTTATCCACGCTTGTCGGCAACAGTGTTGTAGTTGGAATAGTAAGATTTATGCGTTTTCAACTTTGTCAGAGATCATTGACAAAGTTGCATGCGATATTAGAAAAAGCTGAGATTGCATCTGAAAAATGCCAACAAACTTTATTCAGGAAAATTTGGTTTTTGAAATTCAGAGAGCGGTGCTTCTTCGATCTCTAAACGAGTGGCTCTGTTGCCTCTTCTTTTATAATGACATCAATTGTGTTCAAGAGTATGCTCAGAAAGTTGTTGCCTGTAGAAATTTCCCCCTTCTTGCACTTCTGAAATTTTATTTGGCCTCATTTTTTTTTTCATCATTTCTGAAAATGACTTGCTCATCTAACATTTGCTTAGATTTGAGTCTTAGGAGTGATATAGACGAGCAGCGTCAAGATAATATATGGCGCCTGTCCTTCTTATCTTCTAATGGTCCTCTTACGGTTGGAGACTCTGTGATGAAGAATAACATAACTGCTACTATGGTAGCTAGGAATCTTCCCACTCCAAAGGATAACAGAATCCTTTCAAAACGGTCTGATGAGACGGCCGTTCAAGACTCCTTGGCTCTCAGTGTTCAATGTGCATGCTCTGTATCCAATATGGGCCAACGCCTACTTGCTCAAACTCGCCAAGTTGAATCATTGATGGCTGAGGTGGCAAGTCTTAAACAAGAGATCAGAGGGCTCAAGCACGAGAATAGAGTGTTACACGTGCTTGCAAATAATCACTCGACGAGCATGAAAAGAAAGCTCGACCAGCTGCAAGAATCTGAAAGTTGGATTCAAAATGATCACCAGAGGTTCGCTGCTAGATTCCGAAAGTAACTGATGCCTTCTCCTTCTGGTGTTTTGCTAAGTACTGGGGTGCCACATGATCAATCTCCAGTGCCTCCCCCTTCTGGGGTACTTCCGAGTACTGAGGCTTCACATGAACAACCTTTGTGAAGGCTCTATCCTATTTGTTTGTTTTAACTCATGTGTATGTACATATTTGTAATTTCTCGGAGATGTTAATAGATAAGCTTTATTTCATTTAGTGTATTGTGCCAAATACAATAAAGCATAAACTTCACTAAGAACTGGTACTTCTGGACCAAACATTAATTTATCTTTACCTTCATGAAGATAAATGATCATTCTTAGTGTCAACATCATTTGAATATTTAACTCACAATCTTCAATCCATATGGTTCTTTAATATCATAAACATCATGGATAAGATTCGTGTTGGCATATTGTTCGATCTGCAGCTCGAGACAATATTCCTCTCAACACTTTATAATATTTCTTGACTCTTCAAGAGTTCTAAATTTAATATCATCAACTCTTTAGGAGTTCTAATTTAATGTCATTGACTCTTGCAAGAGATTTTAGTATGTTGCAACAATATCATAATGATAATACTCACTAAGGCAATTTATACCATCCATTGGTATCGAGTACATAATTTATGCTTTACCCTTCAGGGGCTTACTTCAAGCAATTTGAATTCTTCAAGGATTTTCTACACTTCATGATATATTTTCCTTTGGAATTTATACAGAGCAATTTGCTCCCATGTATACTTGAGGGATTTACTTATGGAGATATGATGTGGGCGACGCACAACCCTTTGTATATAATTCTCCATTCATATGAACTTGTTTACAACCTTGTGTCATATCATTTGAGTGTATTTCACTGTATTACAAATGCCCAATGTAACCTCCTTGGTTCGACATCTTTTGGCTATTTGTATTGTATTCAAATATATATATAGGTCCATTTCTTCACGTTCTTACAAAATTGTAATGGAATTGCCTTTCTCCATTTTGGCCAATAATTTTGTTGACGAAAAAGAACGAGACTCAATATCAACACAGCTCATTGATGAATTTAGTAGCTACTTGTAAAAACCAAAATTACCATTGGTTATTATCAATCTATGATCCCATATTCTCATGTGCATGTGCATACATAAAAGCTTTTCATTTCTTTGGATACCATTGCCTCTTCAAGGGCATGTCACTATCTCTTCTAGGATAATCATAATTTAGAGAATGTGGATCATAACCTCCTCTTGAGCGTTATAGAGCTTGGATTTTAATCTCCACTTATGGGACTTGAGTCATTTGGAACCTATACGTCTATCATGCTTCATGCATGAGACATCAATATTCCCATGTTTGCGGATTGTCCTTTCTGGGACGTGTATCCATGCGGCGACTATCATGCTTCTGGCATGCAACAGTTATGCTTCGGGAATGCAATAGTTCAGTAATGCAATATTCTTCTTCTTTCGAAGGATTGAACCTTTTGAGTCTGAGGGTCTGCCACGCTTCAGGTGTGCAACGATAAATCATTTGTTGCCATATTATTTTGTTCAACAGTGATATCAATTCTTTTAGGCACATTTGCAACAAGTATATATGAATTCATCACTTTCGTTGCATCATTCAATTATTCCTATTTCATTTTCTCATTGATTGCTTCGTGAATCAAAATAAGACAAATTCTCGTCGTTCTTCTGGAACGGTATTTTCTCATCATTCTTCTGGAATGATATTTTCTCATTGTTCTTCTGGAATGATGTTATTTTCTCCCCCTAATGGCGGAAAAATTGTCTTATCAAAATGATAGTCCGCAAACCACGCGGTAAACATATCCCCAGTCAAGGATTCCAAATATTGAATGATAGATGATGTTCAACATCAATGCCTAATCTACGATGATGCCTCATTTCAATACGTTGTGGCAGTGTAATAGGCACATAGAAAACATAACCAAAAACTCGTAAAAGTATAATGCTTGGCTGGTTCCCAAATACGAGTTGTATTGAGAAGTATTGATGGTTGGTAACATGTCTCAACTGAATTAATAATGCATCATGTAAAGTTTACATGTCCTCATGTAGAAAACTGGCAATTTCATTTTCATGATCAGAGGGCGGGAAATCAATTTCATCTGCTTAATAAAGGCTTCTGCTAAACCATTTTGAGTATGTACATAAGGAACTTCTGGTCCTTATTTAATAGTCTGTAAACTGAGACTCTTATAGCTTTTATTACAATTAAGTTAAGGCACTGCGGCACTTCAAACTTATGGTACTCATCTAGGAACTTCATGTCCTGATCTTCAAGATCAAGGGACTTCATACCTGATCTTTTTACGTGATGGAACTTCAGGTCCAATCATTTTTATATGATGAGGATCAAGAAACTGCAGGTTCTGATATGATCAATGAACTTTAGGTCCTATATATACTCATTGTAACAAAAGATAAGTGCAATAAATAAATTAAAGCAATAGGCGGTAATTCCAGCCATAATGAATAAATTGCATTTAAGTAAATAAAGCTTGTGACAAGGGTTTTAATTCAGCATCATCAAAACTTAAAGCAATAGGCGGTAAAACCGTCCATGGTAAATAAATTGCTTTAAAGTAAATAAAGCTTGTGACAAGAGCTTTGATTCAGCACCATTCACATAAATATCAAAGCTTTAA